TTTTGGGTGATTTATTTTTAAATACTATTTAAATTTAATTACAATTTAAGTTTCTCTATTTTATCTGATTCATAAAATTGATTATCATATTTTAAATTTAAACAGTTTTAATTTTTTTCTCATTTTTTTCACTTAAAATTAAGAATTTTTTTCATATTTTAAATAACAAATTTTGTATGAAACATGATGGTATATAAATATATTGTGGAACTTTATAAATAAAAATATAAATTAAAAAATAAAAGTTTTATCGATTTTTTATGAAAAAAGATAAACGAGACCAAAACTATTTGAATTTAAAATGTGTGAACTAATTTTATGAATCAAGGAAATTTGAGAAACAAAACTATATAATTTAACCTAAAAGTTATTAACCATTTCAGTGAAATATTTGAACTATTTATAAATTAAGTTTATATTAAAAAATTTATTGATGAAGATAAAATATATATCATCTACTCTTGATTTAACTATTTAACATAAAATTATTATTACTGTGTGAATATATTTTCATTAAATCTAATGTGATAATTATATAAAAAAAATTCATGTATATTTCTATACCAACATGTTAATTAAGAATGAAAAAAAAATGATAAATTTAATCAAATAGATGACTAAATTTGTTCTAGACTATTCGCAAGGGCCATAGAAAAATATTCAAGAAGACTCAATAGAAAAGGCGGAGGATACAAATGAAGAATAAGTGGGATCTTAGCCAAACACGAAATATGTGACACTAGTTTCTGACATTTCTCTCACTTTTTGATATAATCAAACGATGATTTGCACGATTTAGAGCAGTTTTAACCGCTCACTTTATATAAGTTCCACGTGTGTCAAATTCAAGTATTTTTTCACTTTCACTCTAAACTATTTTCAATTACTTCAGTAATTTGGGTGTTCGAGTACTAACGTTGTAGGCACACTCCTCTCCATCATATTTACGGGTGTTCGCGGACTGGTTTGGTTCGATTTTGAGAGAATCTGATACCCAAACCAATAAAAAAATATGGATTGATTTGGGTTGGGTTTTCACATTTTTCGATAAAATCCAAATCAAGCCAAACCGAGAAATAACGTGTTGATTTGAGTTGGATTAATCGGATACATTAGAAATAAATGTGCAAAAATATATTTTTTTTAAATTACTAATTTACACCGACTAATTTTTCATAATAATATAAAGTTAATTTTTCGTCTCTCCATATAGGTTATGAATGTTATAAATGATGTCTCATTGGTTTTCTTTTTGAAATTGAATATCTTATACATGTTTCCATGATAATGATTATATAAGTTATATGAATTAATATGGTTGGTTCGGGTAGATGGGATCACAGGTAGAAATTTGGTAATTTGTTTCCTGAACCAATTAACATTGGGTTTTATTAGTTTGGTTTGGTTTTTGTCCGAACTAATGAACACCTTTAATCTTACAAGAAGAACTCGCCACTGCATTGGAAGATCTCATTCCCATCTCATTTATATTCTAGTTCCACTACGGAACCGTGACGCCGTCAGTGGTAAAGGACATTTGATTCCCTTGAATCTCCATAAGAAACCCAATGTTCATCGGCCTCTCGTCCACTATTTCTTACGATGTAGGAATCTGTTCCTTGATATTTGCACCCTATGATAGAAAAATTCCACCTGCCTCAAAGCATTTTCAAAGGAATCATATAAAACAAAATAACCATGTTCCTTCGACTTCATATACTTTTGCAAAAGTCAAGATTTCCAAGCCGCATCTTCTGAAGGTCATTTTGAGCCTTCTTCCAACCTTCCTAGAATTCATTTAAAGACACCTCCAATTCCTTTACCGTCTTATGGGAAGAATCTACTGCTTTAGTTGCATCTACAAAGGCGAACTCAACATTAGATAACACTATCTAGAGATATGCCAGGGTGGCGTCCGTCTTCTTTATTTCTTAAGCCAACAACGACACTCTCTTAGCCAACAAGTGAGGGTAACCAAAATATTGTATCTCTTTCCTCACTGCCTTTAATAGTCCGCTCTTCCTAATGTGCTTCTCCGGGCGTTGATCTCGCTCAATAGTAAGAGCGTCAACACGCTCCTCAAGAATCTTTTTCTCTTTTCAATGACGATTAGGCAAGAAGACATCTCTTGTTTCAACAGTACCAAATTATATGACCATTGAAGCTTTACGCATATGACACAAAAACTTGGCTATTTCCTCTTGGCAAATGACTTCAACCTTACTAAAAAAGTAAGCATAGTTTCTCCATAAACAAAACACTGAAATCCCCTAACTGTTCGAGAGTCACGAAAGGGCAAAAGAAATAGTGATAAGAAGCCAAGGTAGTGGATGAACTTCCTTTGAGACCCGATCTTCTCGATTTCGGATTAAATCTTCAAGGTCTTTTGTTGGATGACTTCCCTATAAGAGACATTTTGATGGTACCCCCTAGAAGAACACCCACCATTTGCACCCAACGATTGTGGTAGGGTGCTCTCCATCGTAGTTTGATAAGGAGGTCCATATGCCTATGTTCAAGCTACAACAAGAAGGATAAATATGGATGGGTCAAAATTGATACCTAGAGATTGGACTTCGTCTGAAACGAGAAAAGAAACGACATTTGAAGGCAAAGGTGTAAATCTAGGTGTTATCTTCATCTGAAGCATTGTTTTTTGGCACATTATCTTATCTGTAAGTAGGAAACAAATATATCATGAAGGCATTCACTTTAAAACGACAAAAAATAAGGAGAAACCTAATATGAAACTCACCAATGATATACTGATCATCCTCTATACTGGTATCTTCCACCAACAAGTCCGTCTTTATGTAGTGTCTCTTTTGTTTCTTTTACGTTATCCTGGAAGACACGACACTATCGATGAAACCCAAGCTTTCCCATAAAGATAACAAATTCTTCTTCAAATAAGCTTCCTCTCGAGATAGATCATTAGGAAGGTAGACATAAGTCCCGATCTCGAACAAGAAATGATTTTGGCACTAAAATTTAGGAAACCTATTAAAATGTTTCAAGGTCACATCAAATTAGACCTCACACATACCCATGTGAGCACCTTTAGAGAGAGGAGTAACCGGGTAATACCGGTCTTTAAAATTCTTCAAACTATTAGAGTAAGCCACAAACATCTTTTAGCCATGCCTAAGAAAAAGTAAGCCTTGACCTGATGTCGAGTTGACCGATAGACATTAAAAATTGAATAGGTGGAATTAGAGTGCCAATATCGGCATGATTTTCTTTACTCACACTAGTATAAGAAAACTTTGACGTAGACCCAACTCACCAAGTGCAATTGCGAGGGTGTAAATCCAAAATTGTAAAGAACATCCACCATAAAGTCATTAAAAAGAATACACAACCTTGCAAGAAAAAATACACTCATGAAGAGGGATAAAGTAACTCTCAACCTTGTTGCACACCATCTTGTCTTCTTCAGAAGGGAGAACTCCCTAATCCGAGAGGGAATCCACCTCGGTGAAAACATGTTTCGGCGAAGATAGATGCGACATCCAATATTTTCTGATCCACCCACATAGTTTAATTGTCCTTCTTGGTGTTTCAGGTTTCCTCATGAGCATGATGATCCATTGCATGGTTAGTACCAATACATAAAAAATAAATGTTGTAAGTATAAGCATGCGATTGGGATTCCAACCACCACATTACTTTATTGTTTGTGGGGCCACAACCAAAAGCATGACGATGAGATCTAATGTAAGTCTGAGCCTTGTGTTCCTGCTTTAAGTCATGCGTAACAGTTGGATTCATTAGAGGTAAAGCAAGAAAGTGAAACCCCTATCAACCTTCTTGGGATCAAAGCTACCGACCACCCTTCCATCCTCTGCCACAATTTCTTCCTCCAAATCTTCATAACTTTTTTCCTAATAAATCATAGCAAAGAGGAAACAAATACATAAGAGAAGGAAACTTTAGTCGTTACCTCGGAAAAAGTGATCTTAGACTCATTATGTATCCCTTAGTACAAAAGTCACACAATCAATGCTAAGTAGCATTAAAAAGTACAAGCCCGCCACCAACAATCGTGATCTCGCCTCAATCTGTTCAAGTAGTCAAGTACCCTAAAGAGAGGATCATCATCAGTATATGACCTAGAATTGCACGTCAAGGTCACCTCAAGAAGCGTAGTAGCTACGAGATGATAATTCAAAGCACATGTTTTAAATGCAACCGAATTCTGCTAAAAAAATTTATGCTTCTTCCACACATCCCTTACTTCAATTAGTAGTAACAAGGGCTTGCGGGTAACTGTTCATGGTCGTTCTCAAGACCCATAGACAAAGGCCCATCACGGAAGGCACAAGCGACAAGTAAAAAACTTATGGGATCTCATCCAAGCACAAAGTATGTGATCCCAACCTCTGACCTTTCTCCCACCTTATAATCTAATCAAATGGAGATCCATACAATTCATCTAATTGATTAGAAGTGGTTATACCCGTTCAACCTATATAAATTTCACGCATGTCAATTTCAAATATCTCTTTCACTTTCGCTCTAAATATTTTTCGAATATTTCAATATCTTAAATATTAAAATTTTAACCATCCAGATATACCATACTCCGTCATACTTAAAAAAATCACCACCGCATCCAAAAATTATCTTATTTATGTTGACAAATATAATTTATCCAAATATTTAAATTAACTGCAATTTTGATATTTGAAAACCAAAACCATTAGTTTTATATGTGATATATATTGATAAAATAACCTCTTTATAAAATAAAAAATCATTTGTGTGATAGAGAGAAATGAGGGACCAAGATGTAGTTTGTATAAGCAACAAAGGAGGTGTAAAACCAAAAGAGTCCTAGACTTTGTGAATTGTCCTTACAATTTACAAACCCCACATGACTCTGTTTTTCTTTCCTCCATCTACCTCTTACTATTCACCCTAACCCAATTTCATCATCATAAATACCCACCACATTCCCCATTATTTCCTTCACAACACAACCTTCTTCTCCTCCTACAATGGCTTTAACAAAATCAACCAAACTCCCTCAAACACAACTCATCAAACAAATCCTCAAACGATGTTCAAGTCTAACCAAAAAACAACAACAACAATCCTACGATGATCCTCGTTTACACGTTCCTAAAGGCCACTTTGTTGTCTATGTTGGTGAAAACCGAAGCAGGTACATTGTTCCTATCTCCTTCCTAACCCGACCAGAGTTCCAAAACCTCTTACATCAAGCTGAAGAAGAGTTCGGATTCGATCATGATATGGGTCTCACCATCCCTTGCGACCAAGATGCTTTTGAGTCTCTTACTTCCATGCTCAGATAAAAAGTTTCCATTTTTTTGAGGGAGAGAAAAGAAAACACCATAAAGATGAAGCTGCTTCATTGCTTCTCTATGAGTTTACAATTTTCTCCCTATATATATATTAATATTAGAGTATGTATGTATGAATGAATGAGGTTGATGTTTTAGAGAGAGTTGAACCTCATGAAATTTCCCCAAGAATGAATCTTTGTGGGTTGATTTAGATTGTAAATCTAGTTTCTGGTAGAAATTGAGCACCATTTTTTTCCTACAGATGTAGGTTTCTTGTACTTGTTTTTCTCTTTTTGTTTACATTGCAATGATGATAAGGAATGTTTGGTTAACTTAACTTTACTATGGAATTTCAAGTTGTTGAAATGAATCATATAAGATGGTTTAAACTTAACTATTGTTTAGATTCTTGTATTTCAGAGATAAAGTCTTAAGAATAGTTACTAGAAAAAATGATTCATTTTCTTGTATCTCAGAGAAAGTCTTAAGGATAGTTGCTAGGGAAAAGACCGTGGAAGAGATTAAGTTTTTAACTATCGGTTGTGTACAATAACCATGCTCATTTTAATGTAACATTAGTAAATATGAAAATTAAAGAAACTAAAATTAAGTTCTAATATAAGATCAATTTGTTTTGCTTTTTTTTTTATATGATTTTTATAGTGTAATATAATTTTTTATAAAAAAAATTTATAAATAAGTTTTTTATAAAATTTTAAATAAAAATTTGATTTGAATAATTATTATTAAAACGATATTTTAGATATTTAGTTTTTTTATTAATTTATTTTTTGGATTTAAAATTTTTAAAAAATCACTCGATTTTGAAGCTATTTCGAATAGCGAAGTTTTCACCCAAATAACCAACATTTCACCCCTATAATTTCAATCTACCCAACATTTCACCATATATACCAATCTACCCATCTTTGACATTTTTTTTTAAAATTGCAAGGGGGCACCATTAGTGTTGGAGACACCCTTATAAATTATATGGGGAGCCATCCCCTTTGGAGGCACCCTATAATTTATAAGGGGGGCGACATCCCCTTTGGAGCCTCTTCTTATGAGTTAAAGGGGGGCGCCATCCCCTTTGGAGCTCCCTTTATTTCATTTTATTTTTTAATTCTACTATAAATAATATAATTATAATTTAATACTATTTTGGACTAAATTTTTTTTGTATAAATAGTTAGACTTGTTTCATTCAAATTAACATTGTTTCATCCAAATTTAGGAGAGCGAATCATGTATCTTAGAAGATATGGGCATGTAATTTTTTCAAGAACGAAACCTTCGATATGGATGTTGTTTTGGAACATCCAGAGTTTAGAGCAACTACAAAGAAATTTGAATCGGTGGTTAGAAGGAGACATTCCAAATGGTGAAAGCATTAGGAGTATTGAAAGACTTGTCTCGTACTTCTCTGTTGAAGACGGAAATATACGGCGGGAGTGGGTGCGAATTAGAGATGACAACACAGTTAGGTCTATGATGTTTGGAACTGATGATATTACTTTGATTGTTGTTATATCTTAGTTTATGTTGTAATAATCGTTATATTTTTAATGATTTGCGTTGTTGCTTTAGAAGTCTTACAATTTGTTTATGTGATAATCAAAAGTTGTTATAAATATTAAATTCCAAGGTTACACATTTTTTTAATAACCAAATTAAATCTATCTAGAACTTGTTCCAACATTTGGACAATTATTTCTCGTATGCCCGGGAAGACGACATATTCCGCACAATCTTTCCATTTTCTCAGTTGTATCCATTTCAGTTGTAATTCGCGTGCTTTTGGGGCGGCCCTTTTTGTTTCTTCTCATATTTTCGTTGTGGTAGATTGTGTCTCCATGATAGGTTGACCAATATTCCTCACTAGCTACCACTAGAAAACTGTTATTGTAGATACCGAATAAGTTCACGACCTTGTAAACTTCTGATAGCTGCAAGAATGGATCGTGACGAGCACTAGAACATGCAGCAATGACATTTGAACAAGGCATGCGGAAGGTTTGAAACTTTCCGCAGTCGCACCAATTTTTATGAAGTTCCACCCTGTAGTGTCCCATTGGCCGACCCTCGTTGTGATCCATTGTCTCATCAACAATGAAGCTGTAATCGTGATGATCAAATGGTCTAACTCGATGTGAGGCCGCCTTAGAAGTTTCATCCTTCATATATTTCATACTTGATTCGCTGAATATTTGCCCTGATTCCAAAACAGCGCTCCATTTTTTGCCTCTTGCCGCAAAAAGTGACCCCAATCTATAATAGGTTTCTCTTACCAACGCATGATGGGTAGGTTTCTAGTTCCCTTAAATACGCCGTTTAGGGATTCTACAAGATTTGTGGTCATGTGACCCCATCGACATCCTCCATCAAAAGCCCTTGTCCATTTCTCGACTAGAATGCTATCCACCCACCTTAATGCTTCTACGCTTGACAATCTTATTTCTTCGCAGTAATACATGAACGATGGTTGGTTTAAGGCATACCCAGTGTTCACAACTTTTTTACGGAGATTTCTGTCTTTCATTTTCCGCATAAAATTCTGAGCAATGTGTCTTATGCAGTAGACATGGACAGAAGGAGGATTGTGCCACCCATTAGCAGGATTGTTGTAGGCGCTCACAATAGAGGCATGTCTGTCGGAAATCAGACATAAGTTGGGTTGAGGAGCGACATGTGTTCTGAGATTTCTGAGGAAGAAACTCCAAGCTTCACCTGTCTCACCCTCGACCAGGGCAAAGGCAATCAGAAATATATTATTATTTCCGTCTTGTTCAACCGCCATCAACAATGTTCCTTTGTATTTTCCATACAACCATGTTCCATCGACTTGAATAACCGGTTTGCAGAATGCAATACCTTTGATACATGGTTGAAATGCCCAAAAGAGGCGAGAGAATATCCTACTTCCATCAACACATGTTCCTTCAGGAGTGTATGCTGGTAGTGACTCTAATATTACAACCGTACAACATATTTTTGAAGTGCTAGTAAATATTGTGGAAGTTGATTGTAAGATTTTTCCCAATTCCCATATACATGTTCAACAACTTTTATTCTTCCAATCCAAGCTTTCCTGTACGATGGGGTATAGTTGAACCGTGCAACAACATGAGAGATAATTGTGCTCACCTTCACAGATGGATCTACGCCCACAAGATGCAAAATCTCTTGGGATATCAATTGAGAGCTTAGTTTTCCATGATCTTGCCGATTGATGTTGGTTGTTCAACTATGAGGTGGATCCATCGAACTTATAACCCAACAATTATTTCTTTTCCGATAGGACGTTGCTAACCGAAACTTGCAACCTGCGTTACAATAAACTACGACATAGTGTTTTGAGTCGTTCCGATTGATGTAAAAATCAACGAAGTTATCCATATGAAACTTTCTTACAGCTTTCATGCACTCTTCTTTTGTTCGGTACTGGTTTCCCACTTTCAAAACTCCTTCAATTTGTTGAGAAGGATTGTAGAAAATATCTGAGGAAGTATCGTCTCCACTCAATTGCAAGTTCGTCATGTGTTGGGGAGGACAATACATATGACTTAATGGTAGTGTCTCCTCATCTATGTCTTGAAGCGGAGTTAGTGCAATGTAGTCCCCAGTCCCGAATAAATTAACCATTTGATCAACCATGGCCTCAGTTTCTTCTTCCTCCTCGTCCACGACATCAACTTCATCTACATCCGTTGTTTCACCAACTTCATGTTGAGCCTGACAGAGTAATAGATAAACCTCAATATAGTCGAACCCATAGTGTTCATGACTATCAAACATTTGATCTACATCACTGTCATCTTGTATTTTCTCTTGAAAATACTTGACCTGATTGTTGTCAAAGAAAAACGGGACTTCTGTATATGATTTGAGAGATTGGACCAGACAATATCTTCGACTCTATTCGCTCTTTGAAATGCAAAAAATTTGATTTTCTACTCATTGTTAATCGGGTAATATCTGTATTTTGAAACCCAAAACCCGAATCCTCAGAGATGTAAGTGTCTCCATTAAAATGGGCATGAACAATATAATTTGTTGTTCTAGACATATTTGAATAAAAATGTAAGAGATGTGTTTGAATAAAATGAGATGAGTTTAATTTTTTCTTGAATGTATACATAAATAACAAAAGTGCACGAATAAAATATTCATAAATCGTAAAGGGAGGCGCCATAGGGGTTGGCTCCCCTTCTTTAAAATTAAAGGGAGGCGCCATGGGGGTTGGCTCCCCTTCTTTAATTTTAAAGGGAGGCGCCATAGGGGTTGACTCTCCCGTGACATGTGTACGAAAAGTGATATTTGCATGCATGCAGAATGACAAGTGTGGAAGATTTTCTACACACTTCATCCATCTCATTTACTTCTCTACACATCAATTAATATTTCAACTACACAAATTTAATTTTTACCTCTACCACCATAAATTCAAAATTCAAATTCAAAATTTTTACTATAAATACTTCTCCTCCTCATTGTCAAAAACTCATCAAATATATCCAACAATTCAAATTCTACCAATATTTTCTTATATTCACACTATAGAAAAAATGTCTTTGTTAACATTGGGCGAAATGCATAGAGGAACACCAAGCAACATCGCGTCTTATGTGAGTATTTGTACCCGATAATACACAATGTTGTATTGATTTTTAGCATTATAATGTTTTTACAAATACAATGTTGTAATGATTTGTTTTATTATTTTGTAGAATACTCATGACTTCCGAACTCGTGGGCATAAACATTTCCCACATGACCCGATAATTAAACCATTTTTGGAGCGCGCAGGATTCAGAGAAGTCATCAAAGTAACAAATTATCTCATTGATACCAAGTTCATTTTGGCACTGCAAGAAAGGTGGCGACCCGAGACGCATACATTTCATCTTCCAATAGGTGAATGTGCAGTTACTTTCGAGGATACTCACATGTTATTGGTTTTACCCATTAATGGTAAGGCGGTAAACTGTCTCACTAATCCTAGCGGT